CTTGAGGCAAGTTCGAGGACAACATGAACTGCTCTGTCTCAAAAAAAAAGCAAAAAAAAAAAAAAAAATTTTTTTTTAAAGATCCCATTCAAATAACAATTATATTTAGAAAAAACTATCATTTTCATATCTCAGACTCGAGGTGCATTTTAAATGTTGAACAAAAGGAATGTTGGAGAATGCTGTACACCGTAGGGCCTACAATTAACAGTGCAATCTTCTACACTTTGCTAAGAGAGCACTTATTGTGTAGTTCAATGGCAGAGCACTTTCTTAGCATGCATGATCTTCCTGCATTAGGCCGAGGCAGGAAGATCAAAAGTTTGAACCTAGCCGAGGTAACTTTCCAATTTAGCAAGACCCTGTCTCAAAAAGGGCTTAGGATGTAACTCATAGTGAAGGCCCTGGCTTCCATCATTGGTACCACTTACATTTTTTAGGATCATATAATCATTAAATAATGCTTTCTCTGCAGACATAAACAAAACAAGAAAAGAGAGTGTAAGGAAAGTTTTGGAAGTGTAGATACATTTATATGATTAATAGTCATGATAGTGTGATAGAGTCTCCAAACACATTAAGTTGTATACATTAAATATCTATAGCTTTATGTCAGTCATATCTCAATGACGTATTTTGTGAAAGAATCATGCTGTTTAAAAGTTTAAAAGCTATACATGGTAACACATGTCGATAATCCCAGCACTTGGGAGGGTGACGCAGGAGGATCACTTTAAGTTCGACGCCAGCCTGGACTACATAGTGAGACTGTGTCTCAAAACACCAAAAATAAATAAATAAATAAATAAAAGTTTGAGAAACATAGGTTCAAAGCATTGCTAGAAGACAACAAGGTATAGGCTAGATAGGGTCCTTTTGATAAATCTCTACACATGCGCTCATTCCAGACTTGATGTAAATACCACCAGGTACCTAGTGTGCATAGTACTTAGGAGACTTCATCTGATACTGTGTCTCTAGAAAGAACTGTGATTTTATGCTAATACAAATTTCAGAGTTGTCTTAACTGGACTGAAGTAAATAGAAACGTGTTACATAACTTCTTACATGGTGACATTCCAATAACATGTTGTAAATTTATTATTTTTGTAGGATGGTTTCTGGAAACTTACACCAGAATTAGGCCAAATATTAAACCTTAACACACATGTTTTACATGCCTTTCTTGAACAAAAAGGGATTCGCTCTCTAGGTAAGTTGCCTGCTAAAATTCACTTAAATGATGACTCATTCAAGTCATCATTTTTATTCATGTTTCCCCTCATCACAAGCATGCTACTAGTTATATTACATTATTTTGTAAACTAGTGGGTTCATGTAACGATTATGTTTTTTTAACTTTTTTCTTTTTATTTGTACGTTTTGTTTGTGGTTATTTGTTGTTACTGTTGTTTTGAGACAAGGTCTTACCGTGTAGTGCAGACTGGCCTTGAACTTACTTGTGTAGCCCAGGCTGGCCTCAAACTCACTGACCCTCCTGCCTCAGCCTTGGTGTGTGCCGCCACGCCCAGCTGGCATGTTTTAGATATATGCAGTGATAGCATTCATTACAGAGAATTTGTACCTATGCATGGTAGATATTGCTGCTTCTTTTTTTCCTATTCCCCCCTCTCCTTTCAGCCCTTCTTCCCCTCTTTATTTAAAAAATCTTTGTTTTGTTTTTTTCCTTCTATTATTTTCTTTCTCTTGTCCCCCTGCCCCCAATTCCTTTTCTCATTTGAACATTTTCTTCCCATTTCCCCATATCTGTCACACATTTTGGTCCTCATGTAACTGTCCGTTTTTCACACCAGAGAAATCCTGCTGTATTTACATTTATTCATTTAATTTATTTCCAATTTAATTCACTTACAAGTATGGGCTCAAGGTGCATCCACTTACCCAAAAATGTCTCAAGCTTTTCTCTCTCTCCTTCCTTCCTTTCTTCCTTTCTTTTTCTTTCTTTCTTCCTTTGTTCCTTCCTTCCTTCCTTTCTTGGAGACAGGGTCTCACTATGTATTTCAGGCTGGTTTTGAATTCATTACGTACCCTGGATTGACCTCGAACTTGCAGCAATCCTCCTGCCTCATCCTCCCATGTGCTGGGAGCTTATTCTTCCTTATGGCAGAGTTCTACTCCATTATTTAAAGACCTCCACATCTTTATCCATTCATTGGTTGATGGGCACTTGAGCTGTTTCCCAGATTTAGCTGGGAAACTGTGCTGCTGTAAACATGGGTGTGCATGTGTTACCATGGTATTCTGCTTTTAATTCTTTTGGAAAGATACCAAAAGGGCAATAGCTGTGCCTCTTGTTTTAGTATTTTGAGGAATCTCCCCTGATTTCCACAGTGGTTTCACCAGTCTGTGCTACCACCAACAGTTGGAGAAGGATTCCTTTTTCCCCACAGCCCCACCAGCATTTGTTATTGTTTGATTTCTTAATGATAGCCATTCTTTCTGGAGTGAGATAGAATCTCAGTGTCGTTTTAATTTGCATCTCTCAAATAACCAGTGATGTTGAACATTTTCTCATACATTTATTTGCCATTTTTACTTCTTCATCTGAGAAGTGTTTATTCGTTTATGAGGCCCATTTTTGGGTTGGGTCTTTAAATTTTGACTTCTTTATAGTCTTGTTTTGTTCTGTGTTTGGTTTTTTGAGACAAGGTCTTGCGATATAGTTCAGGCTGGCCTGGAATTCACTGTGAAGCTTGGGCTGGCCTCAAACTCACAGCGATCGTCCTGCCGCAGCTACCTAAGTACTGGAATTATAGGCATGTGCCACAATGCCTGGCTCGATTTATGTGATAATTATGAAAGTTAAATATAAATTGAATCAATATTAAGCTAGGTGCAATAGTGCATACCTCAAATCCCAATTCCTTGGGAGCCTCAAAATTTTGAGGCCAACCTTGACAACTTATTAAAACCCTGTCTTTGCTTTTCTTTATTTTTTTATCCTTTTGAGCCAGGGTCTCACATGCAGTTCAGGCTGGCCTTGAGCTCACGTTGTAGCCCAGGCTGGCCTCGAACTCACAACAATCCTCCTGCCTCAGCCCCCTGAGTGCTGGGATTACAGGCGTGCGCCACCACGCCCCACTCAAAACCCTGTCTAAAAGTAAAAATAAAAGTGGCTAGGGGTGTAGCTCAGAGAGAGAGCTCCACTGGGTTCAGTAGCCTGCACTGTAGAGAAGGAGAAGCAGAGGGAAAGGGAGGGCGAGGAGAGGAAGGAAAGTGAAGCTGAGCGTGTGCCTGTGATCTCAGCGCTCTGGGAGACTGAAGCGGCAATCACAAGCTCAAGCACAGTCTGGGCAACTTAGTAATTGAGTGAGATCCTGTCTAAAAGATTGTTTAAAGGGGCTAGGAATGTAGCTCAGCGCTAAAGCCCTGGTTCAACTCCCAATACTGAAAAAATAAATAAATAAAAGGAAAGAAATTGTATCGAATTATATTTGTGAACCATGAAATGGAATAGGGGACTAGTTTCTAGTCATATTTTTATCGCTAGATAGGATGGTCTGTGTGCTAGTTTATTAACATACGCAGCTGGCATTAATTCCTGGAGGAAAACCCAAAACTGATCTTAGCACAATGAGAGATGACCTTCTTGCTTCATCGTAAACAGGGATCATCGGAGAAGCTGCCTCTGTACGGGCATGTGGAGCCCTGGGCTGGGTTTGCGGCTGAGCAGTAGAACCCTTTGCTAGCAACAGTAAGGCCCTGAATCTGAGTCCCAACTGCTAAAATAGAAAGAGAGAGAGACTGTGGCACCTTACGTACTGTGGAACTTCCAGCTCATGGTACGGCTTTGCAATCAACCTAGGGGTCCTAGAAGTGTAGCTCAAAGGCAGAGCAGGTGATTAGCATCGTAAAGGCCCTGGGTTCTATAAAAGTAACCAGTAAATAAATAAAAGTAAACTAATGAAAGGAGAAAAATTCTGCCATGGCATCATCTACCTGATAGGCAGGAGGAAGGAGGAAATGTAGCAAAACTAGTCATAGAGCCCCACAGGCATGAGGAGGCTGGAATGTCCTGCGAGCTCTGTGCCCGCAGAAGAGCACCACTGAGGGCCTGGCCGAGCTCTGCCCGGTCTCCTTGTCCGACCTTTGGGTCTGCCTCTTACTGTAACAACAGAGGAGATGGATGAAGAGGTCCTGGACATCCCTAAACCAGCAATGGTTTGAAGGTGAAATGCTAGCCCTGGGGTAAGAGGGTTGTTTTTTGGTGTTTTGTTGTGAGACAGTCTTGCTATGTTGCCCAGACTGGTCTCAAACCCCTGGGCTCAAGTGACCCTCCTACCTCAGTCTTCTTAATCACTGGGACTACAGACACATACCACTGTGCCTAGCCAGTGTGTGTGTGTTTGGTTTGGTTTTCTTAAAGTGAACATTATGAAACTAGTAGTCAGCACCAATGGCAATATAAGCAGCCATGTCTGAGCACGTGTTGTCACCTCTGAAAGCCAGAGTTCTCATGCTTGTATTAGACTAATGATGTAAGAGTTCTTGTCTGACCCTCTCACAGTTATTAACTCTGGACAGAGTATTTTAAAAATTACTTCTTGGCTGGGAGAGCAATGAGAAACAGGCAGAAACCAGAGCGAACACCATCTTAAGAGAAGCCAACTAGATCAGCTCCACATTTACATAGTATCATTCTTCATATTCAGTACAGCATGAAAGTTTAACAGCATGTGAGGAAGTAGGAAAATATATCTTAGAACCTAGAAGAGGGGCTGGGGATTTAGCTTAGTGGCACAGCGCCTGCCTGGAAAGCACAGGTCGTGAGTTCAATCCCCGGTACTGGAAGAAAAACAAACAAACAAAGAAAAAAAATAGAACTTAGAGGAAAATGGTCTATAGATGTTCACCCAAGATGACTCAGATGTTGGAATTAGGAGATACGGACTTGGAAATTGCTGCTATATGTATAATGAAGGATTTACCAAAAAAGGACAAAATGGATAAGCAATTAGATGAATCTCAGCAAATAGCTGTAGATTATAAATCAGAATCAGCTGAAAATTCTGGTACTATAAAATAATATGTCTGTAATTAAAAGGTCATTGGATAGGCTTAAAAGTAAATGGGTCATGTAACTCAAATTATAATATAATTTTCTCAATAAAAATTATGCACACTAAAAGACAAAAAAATTAGAATGAAAAAAAGAACCAGAGCATCTAAGACCAGAGAGAAGAGACCCACAGGTTTAACATTTGTTTACTTGGGACTCCAAATGGTGGAAGAAAATTACATATTTGAATAAACAATGACTGCAGTTTTTCTACAATTGATAAAAGGTGTCAGCTTACACATCCAGGAAACTCAGTAGAATTCTGAACAGCTTAAATACAAAAAGATAATGTTTAGGTAGACCAGAGTCAGACTGCTAAAAACCAAACATAACTTTTTTAAAGATAAATCTAAAAAGTAGCCAGAGAAAAAGCATACATTACAATCAAGAGAATGTGTGTGGGATAGTTTATTTTATAGAATGGAGCATTGCCTGAATCTAGCATCAAAAGTATAGCAAATTAAGATCTTTGAACTGAAAAAGGGGAACACTGTAGTAATTTTATATTACTTCACATCAGAGATAATGAAAGTTAAAAGACAGTGGGTTTTTTTCCTGCCACCAACCATTTTATTTAGTATACACTAGAATGTAAATATATAACAATATATCCTTTCTTATCACAGGTAGTTTTTGCATAACAAACTTGTGGCTGACATCTTAAATAGCAAAAGAAAAACTGAAATCTGTAAGTTATCACAAAATGAGCATAGACATAGAAAAAATACATTTTATATAAATAATAAAGGACAGTTACAATGAAAATCTGTTACATTCCTCTCTAATTTAATTTTAAAGTCAACTTGTATTGTGCTGTGAGCTGCTAAGAATGCGTGAGCGCTGGACTTTCAAAAGACAGCAGTCAGACAAGGCAAGATCTCAGTGTCACGTGCTGTTCTCAGTTTTTAGCTGGAGTTGAGCTTCCTGTTGTAGTTTTCTTTGGTGGTAATTTGGCAAGATTTTCATCAAGAAATCCAGCTGTAGTGTCTGGGGATGTATCCGCACGTCTGTACTGCAGATGTGCACTGTACTCAGGAATGACTGGGAAGTGCTAGGGCGCAGCAAGCCTGGTGGTGCACCCACTGGTCAGTGTTACATTTCTGCCTACACACGCTTTTGACTCAGTGACATTATTATCTCCCATTTCCATGGCTTGGGAATAACAGCCAACTTCAAACACATTATTGGTGCCAGTGATCTTGGGTTTGGGTTCTGGACCTTCAGTGTCAGGGGTGATATTGTCTAGGTGAGCATTAATAATCAGGGCCTCTTTTCCTATTAGGTTACCTTCACCAGTCTCTACTGGCCTGGCTCCCACAAGAATGCGTGCTTTAGACAGGCTCACTGTCCCAGGTCCTACAGTTACAGCTCCGATTTCGCTTCTTACACAAATGCTCCAGGAGCAATCTTTGCACTCTCATAGCACCTTCCTAGTCTCCCTTTCTTTTGAGGCGGAATCTCACTGTGTTGCCCAGGCTGACCCAGAATTCCGGCTTAAGTAATTGTCCTGTCCCAGCCTTCTAAGAACTCCAGGCACATGTCCCTATGCCTGGCTTAATGGAATAGCTCTGTGATAGTTGATCTACTGTCTTCTATTTCTTTGCTGAAAGAAACTGTTAATGAGTCCTTGATTGGTCAATATTGCATGTCTCTATTTGTTTTCATGAGAAACCACTTTGAAGATATCAATATGTAATACAACAAGCATTGTTAATTTCCTACCACTTTGTTTGTAACTCTGTAAAAGGTTGTCTGTTAATGTTTTCCTCCTTTTATTTTTAAAATTAAAAAAAAAAAAACTAAAAGAATAGCTCTGTAAATGACTGAAGGGAAGGAAAAAACTTGTAAACTCAGAATTCTAACTCCAGTAAAAAAAAAGGATCACTGCAAGTTTGAGGCCAGCCTGGGCCGTATGGCGAGTTCAAGGTCAGCTTCGAATACATAGTAAGACCCTGTCTCAAAAAACAAACAAAAAAATTAATTTGAGATGGCTCATGGGTTTAAACTGTAAAACTGTAAAACTTCCAGGAGGAACATAGGGGAACATTTTCATAAATTAGCCCATGAAAGGCTTGGCAGTGCTGCGGGGGGGTGGGGGGGTTGTGGTCTGAGTGGGTGTGTCCCTCCAGAAGCCTCACCTTACAGTGCACCGCTCACAGTGGCGGTGTCTGGAGACAGGGCCTTGGGAGGTGACTATGGTACACGAAGCAACGGCGTGCAGTAAGCAGATACTGTATGATCCCATGTGTAGGAAGCGCCTAGAGCAGTCAGATTCGTAGCACAACAGAATAGGAGCTGCCAGGGCCTGAGAAGAGCAGGGGATGGCGAATTACTGTTTAGTAAGCAGACAGTTTTTATTGTGCAAGTTGAACTGGGTGTGGTGGCACAGATGTGTAATCACCTAATCAGCACTCTTGAGAGGCTGAGACATAGTGATTTCAAGGCCAGCTTGAACTACATAGTGACACCCTGTCTCAAAAAAAACAGAAACAAGTTATAAATTGGGCAGTAGGTAGAGGCATTTATCATCTTTTCTGTGTGCTGTAACTATTTCATAGTCAAAAAAAGTGAAATATTAAGTGGCTCTGTAATGGTACAAACAGTGCTGTACATTAGCATCTTGTATGGACATAATGATGAGTTGCCTGGGAACTATCAGGTGGTACCAGGGATTGAACCTGGAGCCTTCACACTGAGCTACATCCCAGCCTTTTCGTTTGTTTTTGAGACAAGGTCTCACTAAGCTGCTTAAATTGTCCACACTGAGCTCAAATTTGTGAACCTGCCTGCATCAACCTCCATGAATGCTGGGATTATAGGCATGAACCTAAATGCCTAGCACTAAGTTTATTTTTTATATAAAGTTTATTTATATAAATATATAAAGTTTATTTTTTATATAAAGTAATCTCATTGTATGCCACCTACAATTCCAGCACTCAGAAGGCTGAGGCTGGAGGATTGCTATGAGTTCTAGGCTAGCCTGGGCTTCAGAGTGAATTGAGGACCAGCCTCAGCTGTCACAAACCGACAAGTAACTTGAACGGCATGGCTTGTATTAAAAGATAAGATTATAACAAATTACCTTTGCAGGTACTAGTTGACTTTATTTGTGATTCTAGAATAGATAACATATGAACCAAAAATGGTTCTGAATTCTGCACCCAGCCATTTGGGCAGATTTCATTTATAGCCATCATAAAAGAAGTGACATACAGAAAATGTGAAGTGTGTAAAACAGCCCAATTGGTTCCACTCCAATCTCACTGTGACTTTGAGAAAGAGCTGGAAGTGTCACGGTGCCTGATCTGGTGAATCAGGTGGATGAGGACACACTAAGTTTTTTATGAGCCTGCCTTCCTTCGGATGGCACTCAGCAGCAGCCTTCACTGTATTTTTTATCACACTGTAAAGATACAAAGAGAATTTCTAAAACTGCTTCAGAAAGTGGAAAGAACTGGGGTAAAGTGTGTTTGAAGCAAGGTGGATAATTCAAGGGAGATTAACAGCAATATGTCTTATTGTAGTAAATTTTAAAAATATAAATTTTATGTCAGTCACATCATATATGTAAACATTTTTTTAATTTTCAATTTTGATATTTAATAAGAGTAAAATACCTTGATTTTGGTTTATAGGACTGATACCTGTAAGTACTAAGCATCAGAAATAATTTGATTATGGGGACGAAGAAGTATCTCTGGTTTGTCTGTCATAGATTTAGATTTACTCTTTTGCAGCAGCAGCATAGGAAACAAAGTTCTTTCATCATAATTCGTGTCCTTTTGGTTTTTGAAGACAGCAGGAAGCAGAGTAACTGAATTCAGTTCAGTGCCTCCAACCATCAAGATAATGTGATATGTGCATTACCAATTATCCTCATTTTGTTAAGTAGCAGGCTAATTAAGGACCTTGAAGAGTGTTAGAGAGTTTTATGATCTGCTGATGTATTATGGCATACAAGTAGTATAATTATTTAATGAAATTTTTATAAGTGGGCACAATTTGCAATGCAGAGTTTCCAACAGAAATAAAGAAGTGTTTTGCTTGTAGGTATAAAAGGAAGAGAATGTCTCTTGGACCTGATTGCCACATTGCTGGTACTACAGTTTCTTCGCACCAAGTTCCAACAAGACATAATAGTCTTCAAATCCTTGATGAAATTGGATGACCCTTCCCTTTCCAGGTGTGTATGAGTTGGTTTTGTCACTGGGACAAAAATAACTGAGATCAGCTCAGAGGAAGAAGGGTTTATTTTGGCTCACGGTTTCAGAGGCTTCAGTCTGTGGTCACTTGGCTCTGTGGTTCAGGGGCCTCTGCTGGGAGAGTGCATCATGGCATCCAGGAAGCAAAGAGGAAGTGAAAGAGGAAGGGGCCAGGGACAAAATATCCCCTTCAAGGCCCCCAGTGGCCTACTTCCTCCAACTGGGACTCATTTCCTAAATTTTCCATTTCTCATAGCTCATTAAGCACCCGTAAATGGATTAGTCCAGTTACGGGGTTGGAGCCCTCCTGATTCAATCACCTCTGAAAGGCTCACCTCTGAACACTGCTGCATTGGGAACCAACACTTGAACACATGAGTTTGTGGGGGACATTCAAATCCAAGCCATAGCCAGGTGTGGTGGCACACACCTTGTAACCCCAGTTCTGAGGCAAGTAGATTGTGCATTCAAAGCCAGCCTGGGCCACATAGTAACCTCCTGTCTTCTCAGCCACCCCCTAAATCCAAACCATAACACAAGTAGCTTCAACTGTAATAATAAGCAACTCACAAAGGTAATAATGATAAAAAGCAATGCATAGTTTCAACAGTTTTTTAAATAAACCTTACAAGAAGCTACATGGAATTATTCACATGTATATTGTTTTGCAAGGACAAAGAGAGTTTGTTCCTGGGTGAGAGCTTGCCCACCGATCCTGTGGTCGGCGAGGCTGACATGGCATTTTTGCCTCTGGCTGCACAGGCTATGGTCTCAGGTACCTTCTTTGCAGCCCTGGAGCCCAGCTGTCCTGGCTCCTGCTGTGATGCTGTGATCTTACGCATCTCGGAAGAACCACAGTATGATTACAGGGACCAGCTGTAGGTACTTCTATTTAGATATTTTCTAACTATGATAGCTATTAGAACACATGTTTGTAGCTTTGAACTTTCTCTTTTATTTTTATTTTTTTGATGGAGTTTTATGTGTTGCCCAGGCTGGCCTTAACTCCTGGGCCCAGGTGATCCTCTTGCCTCAGCCTCCCTAATAGCTGGCACTGCAGATGCATAGCACCACGCCTGGCTCTGGTCCTGTTCAACTTATGAACTGTAATATTATAAAACATTGGTTTTTACAAATGAGAAAGAACGCTGTTGCTATCTTACAGTTGTGAGAGCAAAATATGTTAGCACATTAATAAGTAAAACAATACTTAAGTAGCTTTTGTTTATTGCATAATTTAAATTTTTTTTACTTTTTATGTTTCATGATGTATGCAACATTAGTATCGTATTATATTACATGGGAGTACATCAGGAAAGTTTTCTAACTACTGAGATGATTGATTATAAAGCTTAGGGGCAGCTGGACATGTGCACTGCACCCGGGCTGAAGCAGAAGGATCCCAAGTCCAAGCTCAGCCCTGACCACTCAGAAGCGAAATTAAACCCTGTTTAAACCTGTGTGTGTGTGTGTCCCGGGGATGCACCTCAGTGTAAAGGCCCTGGGTTAAATTCCCAGTACCAGCAAAAAACAAAACATAAAAACCTCCGAGCAGACAAAATAATGAAAATAATTTCAGCAAAGATAATAAAATAGCATGTAATGTTTGTTGACTTGAGTGCATCCTTAGAAAAGTGAATGTAACAAAAACCCAAGACAGTTTGGGAAATTGTATGCTTTCCAGCAAATACATGTGATTTTATTTTATTTTTCTTTCTTTCTTCCTCGCTTCTATCTTTCTTTCCCTTCTTTTTTCCCTTATTTTTGTAGAGGCTTGGTGGTACTAGGGACCAAACTCAGGGCCTTGCACAGGCCAAGAAGTGCTCTATCACTAAGCTACAACCTTAGCCCCTTGTGTGAATTTCTAAAGAGCCCTGAGTGTTATGGCTTGTGTCTAGATGTCCCCCAGAAGCCTCAAGCAGTCATAGGTGGGGCTTTTCAGAGGTGGCTGGATCTAGAGTGTGTGATGCTGGAATCAGGGGTGTGTATATCAGTCCACTGACTGGTTTGGCTCAGTTCTGGGAGTATATAATGGGAAGGCCCATCCTAGGTGTGAGTGCTTCCTACCCTGAGGGCCTGTAGCCTGGGTAGAACATAAGAGACAGGAAGACGGCTGCTGTCCTCACTTGCTGCTTTTACTGCCTTCTGCCTGTGAAGCCCTTGTACCACGCCACCCTGCCTTGGAACCGCCCAATTATGGACTGAAACCCGTACAGACAGTGAGCCAAAATAATCACCTTCCTTCCTTTAACTTTGGGTGCTGGGTATTTTGTCTCAGCAATGAGAGAAGTAACTAAGACATCCTCTTTTGTAAATTATATTAAATGTTATAAAAAGCCAGGCAAAGCCAGGTGTGGTAGTGTAGAACTGGATCCTAGCACTTTGGAGGCTGAGGCAGGAGGATTGCTGCAAGTTTAAGGCCAGCCTAAGCTACATAAAATGAGTTCAAAGCCAGCCTGAACTACAGTCATCCCTTGCTATATCACGATTCACTTAATGCGGCTTCACTGTATCGTGGTTTTTAAAACAAATATATCTAATTCTGCATTGCAGAGTTTTCACTATATCACAGGATTTTGTGGTATATAGGTATTTATATATTACTTATGATTTTAATTATTTTTGCTTAAAATTTTAAAACTATAACAATATTAAAAATGTTAATTCAAACATATTAGAAGAATATTAAATGGAAATAAAATACTGTACAGTACGGTATTTCATCAGCGCATGAATACTGTACTGTACACAATGGAAATGCAGTATGCCCTACCACTGCCCGAGCCTGGCAGAGCCACCTGGCCAGGTGAGCCGACCCGCGTGGGAGGTGCAGCTTACGGATGAGGAGGGCGCCGCCCGCCCGTGCTAGGAGTGGCCGGCCAGTGGTGTGGGTCGCACTGGACTTGGCTCGGCTCGGCTGGGCTGCAGCTCCACTCAGTCCTGCGCATCCCACTCCCAGGCCCGCTTCCGCCCTCCGTCCCCACCTGCCCCGTCCTGCCTCCTGCCCTCAGAGCTGAGACTCGGATTCACCGGGGTCCCCAGGCACGGCCCCAGCTGGAAGCTGAGCCTTTGGGAAGAAGGGTCTCCCTGGGAAGGCACGCAGGACTGGGAAGGGTTTACAGGTGTGTGGGAAGGGTTTGTAACAGATTAAAAAATATATAAATAATAAAATAAATACGACGCTGCTACTTCGCAGATTTTCACCTATTGCGGGGGGGTCTCTGGAACGTAACTCCCGCGATAGGTGAGGGATAACTATATATAACAAGATTCTATCTCAAAAAACAAAAGCAAAACAAAATAAAAAGCTGGGCATGGTGGTATACTCCTGTAACCTGAGCACTCCTGGAGGCTGAGGCAGGAGGATTGGAAGTTGGAGTCCAGGTTGGGCAACTTAGTAACTCACTGAGACCATGTCTCAAAATAAAACATAAAATGGATTGGGGAATGTAGTTTGTGAAGGCCCTGGGTTCAATTTCTCATACTAGGAAAAAAAAAAACCATTTGGGTTTTTAACCCTTAGTTAAGGCCAACTAAAATAAGGAAAGGCCAACTAATTAGTCAAATACTAAAGTTTTATTCCTTTCAGTACTTAGTAACTACATGAAGATTAATAATTACTGGGAAACATCAGTATTGTAGCCATTGTCATTATTTAGTATCCTCATTCAACTGACATCCATTGAGTACTGACTCTCTGTCAGACTGTTAACGTGTGTTAAATTTATGAGTTTTGTTAATCTCCATGAGAAACCATCAGACCCCACATTATTATCACAACTGAGGAAGCAGAGCCTCGCAGTGTTGAAGGAAGGCGGCAATATATCATACAGTCCAGTGAGGACTCGTGCCCAGCTCTCACCCCGAGACTGGGTGGTGACCCTTTCCCAGAGCACAGGAAAACCTTGGCAAGATGAAGAGGAATTGTTCAACTCTGCGTGCCCCATAGCATTTTCTTAAAGACTGTGGTGTAAGTTGCCATGTCCTCACTAACTAGTTCTTCCAGATGCCAAAGCAAGTTAGGAAGTAGCTGGTTAACATTAATGAAAGAGTTTGGAAGTTTTGTGAGTCTTGGATAGACTTGGATATTTGAGTTATAACAGTTCAACACTTTTGTGGACACAAACTTGACACTTGTATGTCGCACGCATTTTACTACTGAATTGCTCCTGGTTTGCATGACACAGAGAAGTAGATGCCATTTCCTTGGGTGACTCTTCAGTGTTCTGAAAGTAACTCAGCAATTTGTGAGTTCCTGGTATGATAGGAGGAGAGAGAAACAGAGGCCTCATTTGTGAAACAGTATTTTAAGTTTGTGCTTGAAAAACGAATGCCAACAAAGAAAAGCCCAAGTCCTGATGAATTCACTGTTGAATTTTACAAGAAATTTAGAGAAGGACTAATGCCACTAATGCTGAAACTCTTTAATGAAATTGAAAAGGAAACAGTACTTGCAAAATCATTCCTGGAAGCAAGTATTACCCTGATACCAAAACCGGAGAATAACCCAACCAAAAAAGAAAATGATAGGTCAATCTCCGTAATGAACATAGATGCAGAATCTTCAATAAGATACTGGCAAACAGAATGCAGCAAATTATTAAGAAGATTATACACCATGACCAATAGGATTCATCCTAGGGATGAAGGGATGGTTCAACATATGCAAATCAGTAAATATAATATACCACATCAACAGAGCCAAACACAAAAATCACATGATTATCTCGGTAGATGCAGAAGAAGCATTTGACAGAGTCCACATTCATGATAAAAACTCTATGGAAAATAGGAATCGATGGTCTTTATCTCAATCTGATAAAAGCCATGTATGACAGACCAACAGCCAGCATCATACTAAATGGACAAAAACTGAAAGCTTTCACTCTAACATCAGGAAGATATCCCCTGTTCTTGGGTAGGAAAAACCACTGTAGTGAAAATGGCCATACTTCCCAAATTGTTATACAGATTTCATGCAATCCCAATCAAAATGCCAATAGCATATCACACAGAATTAGAGAAAATATTCCTAAAATCCATTTGGACCCAGAAGAGGCCTGGAATAGCAAAAGCAATCTGGGCAACAAAGGCAAGTCAGAAAGCATCACAATCCTTGACTTGAAGTTTTTGTTACAAAGGTACTATTATAAACACAACATGGTACTGGAAAAAAAAAAACAGATTCCAGGACCAAGGGAACAGATTAGAAGATGCAGAAGAAACTCCAAACATACTCAGCCACCTTACCTTTGACAAAGAAGCCAAACACCTTCATTGGAAAAAAGATAGCCTCTTTAATAAATGGAGCTGGCAAAGCTGGCTCTCCACATGCCAAAGATTAAAACTACACCCATATCTTTCACTGTGCACTAAACTAAAATCAAAATGAATCAAAGATCTAAATATTAAAACAGATACACTAAATCTGGTGGAAGATAGGATAGGTAGAACTCTAGAAGACATTAGTGTAGATAAAGCCTTTATGAACAAAACCCTGATCACATAGGAACTATTACAGAGAATTAACAACTGGGATCTCATCTTGTCAAAAAGCTTTTGCACAGCAAAAGAAACCACCAACAGAGTGAAAAGACAACCCAAAGAATGGGAAAAAATTTTGGCAGCTGTTCCTCAGACAAAGGACTAATATCTAATATCTAGAATATATAAATTACAAATATCAGACCCCCCAAACTTAAAGACCTAATCCAAAAATGGGCATCCAAAATGAATAGATGCTCCTCAGACAAAGAAGTAGAAATGGCAAATAAATATATGAAAAACTTTTCAACATCACTCGTCAATGTCTTGGTTACTTTTCTCTTATTGCTGAGACAAAATACCTGACACCCAGAATTAAGGAAAAAAAGGTTTATTTAGCTCAGAGTCTGTGGAGGTTTCAGTCCATACTCGGATGGCTTTAAGGCAGAGTGGCACATGGCAAAGGGCAACAGTTCATGGCCATGTAAGATAGCAAAAGCAGCAAGAGCAAAAGGGAGGAGTGGCAGCAAGCAGCCTCTTCCTCTTCCTTACATATGCAAAACTAGCCCCCCCTCCCCCGCCCCAGGGCAGATGTAGCATTCACACCCATAATCTCAGCATTGGATCCTGGATCAGTCATAAACTCTAAAAGCCTGCCTCATGACTGCATGAGGCTTTAGGGGGACATCCAGACACAAACCATAACATCATTCAAGAGATACAAATTAAAACAACTCTGAGATTTCATCTCCCTTCAGAAGCAATGCCTGTTGTCAATAAATCAACCTGGACATGGTGGTGTAAACCTATAATCACAGCACTTGGAAGGCTGAGGCAGGAGGATCACCATGAGTTCAAGGCCAGCCTGAACTGCATAGTGGGTTGAAGGCCAGTGTGAACTGCATAGCAAGACCCTGTCTCCAAAAAAGTAAAATTAAATCAGTAAATAAGAAAGAATGGAAAGAAAGAAAAAAGGAAATGTAAGAAAAGAAAGTGTATCTTTCTTTAAAGAAAAGAAAAGAAACCAATACAAATGGTGGCAGACCTTGTCATTGACAGAGGTGCCAAATACCTTCACTGCAAGCAAGATAGCCTCTTTAATAAATGGTCAGTTGAGAGATGCAAATTAAAACAATGCTGCGATTCTATCTTGCTCCACAAAGAATGTCTATTACCAAGAAATCAACTAATAACAAATGCTGGCAGTGCTGTACAGAAAAAGGAACCCTTCTTCATTGGTGGGAGTGTAGACTGATGCAACCACTGTTGAAATTAGTATGGAGATTCCTCAGAAAACCAAAACTAAAACTAGAGGTTCTATTCGACTCAGCTATTCCCTTCTTGGTATCTTCCCAGAAGAAGTAAAAGCATCATATCACAGTGATATATGCACACCCATGTTTAGAGTGGCACAGTTTGTAATAGCTAAATCTTGGAAACAATCCACACCCATTAACCAGTGAATGGTTAAGATGTGGATTTTTCTTTTTCTTTTTGAAGATGTACTTTTTTCTTGCAATGGAATACTACCCTGCCACAAAGGAGGATAAGCTTGAGACGTTTCTAGCTAAATGGATGTACTTTGAGACCATACTCTTAAGTGAAATAAATTGGACACATGTATTTAAATACTTCATTATTTTTCTGGTGTGAGAAATCAAAAGTATAAATAAGAACCAAGATATATAATAGATATTGGGAAATGGGAAAAAGTGTTTCAATGGGGAGGGGGCCAAATGAGGGAGAAGAGGGGAAGGAAGGGACAAGGAAAAAGAAAGAATAGAAAGAAAAAATGGAAACAAAGCTTTTGTAAATAAGGAGGGGAGCAGGGTGGGAGGGGGATGGGGAAAAGGAATTAAGATGTATCGGGTACATGTGCAAATTCCCTATGATGAATATTATTATTATGTATATCTAAAGTGTATCCATAAAATAAAAAATGAATAAATTTAAAAAAAATAACCAGGAGAAGCTTGAGTCCTGCAAGCAGCAGGGGCAGCGGGGGAGGGGAGGGGAGGTGTGCAGTGGGAGGTGGTGACTCACAGACTTGAAAATGTATTGCACCTGCTCAGATCTCTGTGTCAGATGAAAGAACTTTGCCAATATGTCAGGTGACTTGCTTTTATTAAATGTCTTCATCTCTGACAGTTATTTTGTTTGACATGATGTGATGAGCGTAATACCATTTTATAGTTCACACGTGCTTACATTCTGAAATCAGCACAAGCATTTAACTTTTTTCCATCTAGGAATATTCCCTGGGACTTCGAGGCAATAAAGAAAGCAAGTGAGTGGGTCAGAAGAATGGAGGGACAATATCCATCCATCTGTCAACGGCTTGAGCTGGGTGAAAACTGGGACTTGGCCACTAAGCACCTCCTGGGAATTCAGCCGCCAGCCAGCACTTCTCCTCTGCACAGAGTTCTGTATTCTGATCAAGCCTGAATCCAATGAAATTATATTTTAAACTTTTCTCATGCTTCTGTGTCCTAAACATAATCAAATATAACTAGGTACTTACAATAGCATTTAATTGTGATTTTATTCAGTGCAGCAATCAGTGCCTTTACTGTAAAGTAAATGGAAACAATTGACTCTTTTACTCAACTAAAAAAATAAATGAAGATGACCATATTGGAGATTTTGTATTTCAGTGTTTTAAGGTGTGGGGAGATATCTGATGGTCCTGGGCCTTAATTACCTCTCATTCCAGGAGTCTGGTGGTGAACTTACGGGCTGGGAAGAAGCCAGGCCTCTGGCTGGTGGTGGCCCAGGCCTTGGACAGCAAGTCTGTGGGCCACAGTGTGCCTTCTCCCGGCCGCGGTCCTCTGTCTGCAGACCCCTTGCTGCATGGCTTGCTGCTTAAGAGAAATGTGGTGTCCAGAGCAGGTCTTGAGTCAATCTTGCTTTACTGTCACCATCTAAAACTCATTGCCAAACCCAAAGCCCTCTGTATTTTTGCTCTCTTCTTGTTTTGTAGTTTCGCATTTTATGTTTTGGTGTATGATTTTCGGGGGGTGAGCAGGATGGAGTCTCTCTGTGTTTTCCTGCTTTTGCCTCCCAAGAAGTGGGGAGCGGCCTAGCTGTGACTCATTCTGAATTGCAGTTTATGAAAGGAAGAAGGTTGCTTCCAGCCTTCCTCCACTGCAGGCCATTCCCAGAGGGCGGAGGCAGGGCGTTGTTCTTTCACCATAGTTGCGCCAAAGGCCCGAAGGTTACGTGCTGGCCCCACCAGCAGGCACAGAGACACCAGCTGCGCATAGCTGAGTTGCTCGTATGGTACGCCCCAGCCAGCATTTCTCCTACACCGGAAGGCTAGGAAAGTATAGTTGTGGAAAGATACTCCTGAGCTTGGTGTTTGGGGTGGGCGTTGCTCACTGGCCTTCTGTGTGGATTTGCAGGGTTTGACTCTGCCTAGCTCTCCAGCTAGAGCGATGTGAAGGTTTGGGATGTAAGTGAAGCTCAAACTCTGCTTCTCTTACACTTCCACTTGACTCCCCTCCCCCACACCAAGCAAGCCGTGTTGCCACAACAGTGCCAGCGGGGGTGGGCAGGGGGCCTTGCCTCAGCTCAGTTCTCACGCTGTACCTGCAGATAACATCAGGTCAGCTGAGGCTGAGGACTTGGTCCCCACGACCCTGCAGTTCAGAGGCCAGCCAGTTCAGAGCCCCCAGGTCGTTTCACCTGCACTTCCCATTGACTGCTATTAGGTTTCCCACACCCCTTTCTTGGGGTCAACTAATTTGCTAGTGTGGCTCGAAGAACTCAGTCATAGTTACTGGTTTATTATTTAGTTTACTGTATCATTGTTATAAAGTATATTATTGTTGGAGTCCTAGGCTAGAGGGGCACCTGGGTTTAGAAAGTCTCAACATATCAGGAGCCTGGTATTTGTTTTGGGGGCCTTTTGCCCCAAAAACAAAACAGGAAAAGTGATGGTTGCTGGGCATGGTGGCACACACCTGCAGTCCCAGTCCTCTGAGTGGTTGAAGCAAAAGGACCACAAGTTCAAGCCCAGCCTGGACAACTTAGCAACTTAGACAGAGACCCTGACTGGGTGAGGGGACTGAGGACGTCACTCTGTGCTAAGGCCCCTGGGTTCATTCTCTAGTGAGGGAGACAGGCACAATTGAATTGCCAAAACTAAAACAAGGATATAAAAATTCTAAATAACACAATATCAGCCAAAGAAATTGAAAATGTAGTTAAAAATTAACCAACAAAAAAAGTCCAGGCCCTGACAGACTCATTGTTGAATTCTACAAGAAATTTAAAGAAAAACTAAATGCCACTAATGCAAGCTTTTTAAGGAAGTTGAAAGGGAAGCAGTAATTCCAAAATAATTCCTGGAAACAAGTATTACTTTGATTTCCAAAACCAGAGAAGAACCCAACCAAAAAAGAAAACGATAGACCACTCTCCATAATGAAATACATGCAAAAATCCTCAACAAGATACTGGCAAACAGAATGCAGCCAGTCATCAAGAAGGTTATACACCATGACCAATAGGATTCATCCCAGGGATGAAGGGATGGTTCAACATATGCAAATAAATACATGTAATACACCATATTAACAGAACCAAAGACAAAAATCACATGATCATCTTAATAGATGCAAAAAAAGCATTTGACAAAGTCCAACACACATTCATTATTTAAAAAAAACTATGAAAAATTAGAATAGATGATCTTAAATCTGATAAAAAGCCATCTATGGCAAATGAACAGCTAACATCACAGTAAATGATTAAAAACAAAGCTTTCACTCTAACATTAGGACAAAGATAACGATGTCCACTATCACCACTCCTATGCAAGATAGTCCTGGAAACATTAACCAGAGCAATTAGACAAGAGAAAAAAAAAAGGAAGAAGGATGACAGAGGAAGAAAACTTACCATTATTTGGAGATGACTTGCTACTCTACATAGAAGATGCCAAAAGCTCCACCAAAAGACTTGTAGGTTTGAAAACCAAGTTCAGTAGTGTAACTGGATACAAAGTCAACAAAGTCAAAGTGAGAAAAATCAATTGCATTCCTACGCACAAGCAAGAAAGTCACAGAAATTAGGAATACCACACCCTTCACAATAGCATACAACAAAATGAAATACTTAGGAATTAACCTAATGAAGTAAAAGATCTATATATTGAAAATTACAGTACTCAAAAAGGAAATCAAAGAGGATATCAGAAAATGGGAAAATCTCCCTTGCTCATGGATAGGAAGAAGCAAAACAGTGAAAATGGCCCTACTTCCAAAACAGTTATACAGATTTAATGCAATTCCAACCAAAATACCGTTAGTGTATCACACAACTCCACAGAACATTCCTAAAATTCATCTGGAACCAGAAGAGACACAGAATAGCAAAAGCAATTCTAGGTAAGAAAGACAAGATGGGGGAATCACAATCCCTGGCCTGAAACTATACTACAAAGCTACTGTGATAAAATCAGCACAATATTGGCAAGAAAACAGACCTAATGATCAATGGAATAGATTAGAAGATGCAGGCACAACTACAAACACAATTGTTCACCTTTTCTTTGTTAAAGAAGCTGTACACCTTCACTAGAAGAAAGACAGCCTCTTTAATAAATAGTGCTGGAAAAACTGTCTTTCCATATGCTGAAGACTAAAACTAGACTCGTATCTATCACCATGCACTAAAGTATAATCAAATTGGATCAAAGATCTAAATATTAAAATAGAAACACTAAATTTACTGGAAGAAGAAATAGGCAGAAATGTTGAAAACATAGGTGTAGGCAGAGACTTCATGAACCAGACCCAGACTATACAGGAAATTTTACAATCAACAAATGGGATCTCACCTTACTGAAAAGATTTTGCATAACAAAAGAAATTACCAATAGAGTGAAAAGACAAACCATAGAGTGTGAAAAAATTATAGCCAGTTGTCCCTCAAAGAACTTCTATCTAGAACATATAAAGAAGTGAAAAAAACCAGGCCCCCCAAATTCAAAGACCCAATACAAAAATGGGCATCTGAGATGAATACATGTGTCTCACATGAAAAAATACAAATGGCAAATAAATACATGGAAAAAATGTTCAACATCATTGGTCACTTGAGAAATGCAAAGTAAAACAACACTGAGATTCCATCTCACCCTAGAAAAAATGGCTATTATCAAGAAATCAATGAATAACAAATGCTGGCAGGGCTGTGGAGAAGGGAACCCTTGTCCACTGTTGGAAGGAGTGCAGACTGGTGCAATCACTGTAGAAATCAGTGAGGAGATTCCTTAAACTAGGATGAGAGGTCTCATTTGACCCAGCTATTCCCCTTCTGGGTATCTTCCCAGAAGAATTAAAAACATTATACCACAGTGATATATGCACATGTTTATAGCAGCACAATTTGTAATAGCTAGATCTTGGAAACAACTGGAATAGATAAAAAAAGATGTGTTCTTTTTATATAATGGAGTATTCACCATAAAGAAGGATAAACTTGAGACTTTCATAGGTAAATGGATGCAACTCAAGACCATACCAGTAAATGAAATAATCCATACCCACATGTGTAAACATCCTGTTGTCTCAATACCATGAGAAACTGAATGAGTAAGATCCATCCAAAATGTAGAATAGATACTGTGAAGTGGGAAGAAACTGTTCAAAGAAAAGAAAAACTGATGGAGGGAGGGGAAAGTCTCCCTTTGTGTTTTGTAGTTGCAAGCAGTGGTTAGTTTGTTGAAGTGGAGGAGTTGTGTTTGGAGGACTCTGCAGAAAACTTACCTTTTTAAGCTAAAGATTCCCAGTCCAAGGATTTCAAGCCCTGCATTCAGCAATTTAACCAGTTACTAGTGTAGCTGGCAATTGTCAGAAGGTGTAAGTGATTTGAGTTTCTTTCATAGATAACATATTACTAAGGTATTGTTTTATACATCTTATGGTTATATTTTTCCGCTGGATATTCAAGACCAAGTTAAGGTGAAACCTGTGTTACTCAATTTTTTGCTTTCTATCAAGGTCAGTTAAGTCTTGTCAGGATTTACCTTGGACCCATGTGTAGCACCTCTTAGTTCTTCTGTCAGGGTCAGCCACGTGGATGAGTCACAGCCATTGCTTCACCAAGTTGCTTTCTGTGAAAGCTTGAGAGACATTTCTCTCCTGTGACCCTCCTTAGGCACACTGTACAACTTTGACCTCCTTGCTCTGTGGTCCAACAGACTTCTTGGTTTGAAGACTGGGGATTCACTGAGTTATAGGATGTTGCAGCAGAGGTTCTCTTATGTCCTGGGTCCTCACTGACTTTGGAGGGCCTGAGCCAGAATACTGGCTGTCCTTCTAGCCCGTGTATCTCTCTAGGTTTTGGTCTCCAAACCTCAGTTTTTGAACATCCAGAAGAGAAGGTTAATGCCATTACATCATAATGGGAGCAGTGAGCTTAATATTATAATTTTATCTGAATATCAAGGATGTTGAAATACAATGCAGAACCATTATTTCCTGCCAACCATGGATGTTCTAGCAGTTGAATTCCTGTAGAATGTTAACAGAGAACAGTTATATAGTTTTACATGGAAAATTTGAGATCAAAAGCCATACATAATATTGTAGCATGACATTGATGATGACATTTTTGTAACACACCAATTTCC